TACATACATTGAAGTTGCGCAACCTGGGTATTTTTATTTGATCGCTTATAACTTACGTAGTTTTGCATCGATTTTCTTCGATGATAGCTTATTTTTTTTGTAATACAACAGAGCTTAGGGAGAAATAAAAGGTTTTCGAGATCCTTCCCCGCAAAATACATTTTTTTTTATATTTTTACAAAAAAAATTGAAAAAATCGGTAATGATTGTTCGTTATCTTTGAATCTACAGGGCCTAGCAAAAAGTGTTGTATGCACAGTTTATAGAAAATTTTATTACCTTTTAAAAGCTTCAAACCGTTTTGGAATTGCTTAATTCGTTCTTGAGATATATATGATAAAGTGGACCCAATTTTTTTTTTCTGGTTTCTGGTAAAGAGAAAAAGTTGAAATTTGTGGTCCTGTGTATTTTGAGTAGAGTGGAGCTAAGAAGTATTATTCTGTCATCCTTTCCTCTTAAGGCCTTTCGAAAGTGCGTAGTCACATAGGAACCGCTAAACGATCAACCAAAAACTCAAGGTCCATATTACATATTAAATAATAACTAAATATTCGCCCTCACTCCGCAAAACTACATAAAAAAAAAATATAAATATATAAAATTTACATAAGATAAAAACGAAGTCGCACAAAGAGACGGCCTTATTCAGAAAGCTCTGCCTCAAAGCGCTACTCATTTTCCCATTCCTCCATCTTTACCCAAAAGTATCTATCCAGATTGTAGGAGCGGTTGCATGATCATTGCTCACTTAAGCATGTACTTTGGGGTTTAGAGCACTCAAAAACTTAAAAGAAATCTTATCTAAGCACAACTATTACTAACAAGAACGGTCAGAATGTCGCATATTATATAGTAACAACGTTTTGCTAGCTGGACGTATTGGATGAAGCTGCATACCGATTAGAATACCACATCAGAGCCACATAAGTTGATTTACTAGTAGCTAACCTCGCCCTGGAATTTGATTCGAAAGTTTTACTTTAGCTGCATGCCCGTTGAAACTTCAATGCCTAATCGAAAAGTATCTCTTTTTAGACCTCTCACAATAGCGTATGTTTATACTCTCTACCCACCTGCTAATCGGTCAGTATTTTCGTCTGCCAAGTGACTGCAGATTTGTACTGTAGAATAGGCCACCCCGGTTCTACTAAATAGCACTGTTCTACCCTAAAAAGCTAATATATTCGTCGATAGCCGTATTTGAAAGCAATCGAATTTTCGATAGTGAAAATAGAGGGCTGTACGGATACGCCGAGCCGCGATAGCCCTATCAACATCACTCTTTCCCCAATTTCCGGTCTTAGTAATATCGAAAGGAACGAGGCAGCTGTTGCGATAGCTAGTTATGGTTTCGAGGCGGGCAACTCAATACAACTACTGTTAAGGTGTTTAGAAATGAAATGAGTTTATTGTGAGATCTCTAGGTTATTATAGCTGGGGTTGAACAGCAAAAATACTGTAGAGCTATAACTCAACAGATCTTCAGTAAGTGTTCTTATTGGCATCCTTACAGGAATACTTTGCTATAGTACCTATGCTCCAACGTTTGGCGAATACTGAATAGTTCTGTTGTAGAAGCTGAAAGCTAGAAGAAATTAAATGGCCACTTTCTGTACATACATTGTCCGGACATACCTTAATTTTTATTTGGAATCAAAAGCGGTTTATCGGCTTGATAAAGCCTTGATAATTATATCCTCGTTTCCGTTTGTAAAGGAACTCCAGTTAGGGGAATTTGCCTCCTCCAAACACTAACTTAAATAGGGCACTAATAATACAACTATGTCTATCACTCGGCCCCTCTCCAGTCGTATTCGCTGACGGAAAGTTTTGTATTTTTTTTCTTAAAATCTATGTGGGAGCTATGTATGTATAAATACATATATAGCAGTCCTTTTGAATAAGTATTTTAACAAGTTAAGCTACTACTTATAAAAAATAAGCTGGGGTTTCGATTTATGTATGTATGTACCTTGTCAAATGTGAGTAATTTTTTAACTTACAGTTATTACTATTCTAAGTCATTGAACTATGGTTGAAAGCATCTCTAGTTGCAACACCCTGTACTTAAGTACACTTATGACGATACAAACTTTTTGCGAAATCCCATTCTATTTGCATATGTTTGTGCATAGAGGATTCTTCTCTTAAACATTTTGAGTGCGCATGAGCACCATCGTTTCTAGGCCTTGTATTATACTTTGTTTTGTGTCAGGAAAGGCGGTTAAGCTCGGAACACTTTGACGACAGCAAGCGACAAGCAGCATCTGTCAAATTTTAAATACACACGTTCTTACGGACACAATTATTTTGACGACAGCACGACATCTTGGCTGCAGGACTGCAATTGTCGACGTCGCCAAATTAAATCTATTTCTAATTTTGCCGGCGACAATGAGTAGATGTAGTGCTACAAAATTAAATTGTTGCAAAATTAATCACATATTCTTGATTGTTCATGTTTTTCTTATTTACTTAAATAAAAATAGACAATTTGTGAAATAAATATACCAAAATGTCAAACTTTAAAATCAGCTGTTTGCTATGTCGCTGAGGTCTTCAAAATGTTTAAGAAGCTGGCTTCAAGGCGACATTTGTCGACAAAATGATGTCGCTGTCGTTACGTCGTGAAGTTGCAGTCGTCAAAGTGTTCCGAGCTTCATGGCGGTGTTTACACAATTTTAAGAGAATTGCAATAAAATTAAATTTCTTTTGAATGTATGTACTATACATACATATGTATGTATGCATGAACATATGCCTCAGTAAATTCACATATGTAAATTCTTATTAAACTTCTACTGCAAACAATTTATTCTGCAATTTGACGCTTTGGTCCGAAGTTAACTAAATTTACGAAAACATATTTTGTGCTCTCAAAACATACATATTACAATTCGTTGTTCGTTTTCTCATTGCGATATCTTACATTAAACTGAAACTACGGCTTTGAAATATATATATATATTTTTTTAGTTTCACGCTTATGCAAGTAATTTATAACGCATTGCTGTTTTTAATCTGACCTTAGCCAAAAAAGGCAAAAGAAATTGATCTGCATTCCTATTATTTTCTGGTCTGCTTTTTCCGGTTGTAATACAGCTCTATGTTTGTCTTGGTTGTTCCAATGTTTTTTTGTTGCTAAATGCAAATAATTTATTCTTAGCTAATTCTCTCACTACTCGTACGTATCGTGGTCGCATGATTTACGTCCCCACTTCTTCGTTTTCATCGCGATAAAGTACACTTGTGGCCACACAAACCAATAGAAAAATATTTTATTAATACAGTTCACACTGTAACAAAGACTATATAAATAAATGTTTCTAACTTTGTACAAAATTTATAAAACATTCAGAAGTTTTTATTGAAATTTTAAACTTTTTGATCACATTTTTTAGAAAATTTTCTGTTATTTATGGAGTTTCATTGCCACTTTAATATTAGTATAGTAAAATTCTGTTTGATTCTTAAATTTCTTTCCATACGATTGTGCTCATTTTTTCCATATAAAAAGCATGGAAAAATTACACAAGACCCGCGAAAAAAAAAATTTCAAAAATCTTAAAGAATTTTGGGTAAGTTTAGTCAAAATTACACATTGTTGTACTAAAATTAAATTAAAAATTGTATGAAAATTTTATTTATATTGTTTTTTTTCACAGTGTGAACTATAGTTATTTTCGTTTTATTAATTTAAAAATTTTACCTCATTTTTAAAGTGGTGGTAACTTTACGTAGCCACCGGGCACATGTTCATATCGCTACCGTCCTATTCTGAGTTTTCAAAAAGCACTTTGTTGATTTGCAAGTGTTGCTCTAGCGGTCCCTGTGTCTCTTGAGTCGAAGAACCAAAACTTTTTTTTCAAGAAATTTCGAGTATTTTTCTGAACTTTTCCGGATTTTTAGTGAAAATGTTTCTTGTTTTATTTTTCTGGAATCGTTTTGAATCTTGCGAGTCCTCTGGAGTTTTTGGGATGTTTCGAAAGAATCTCTTAGAATTTTGAAACCTCTCGACATTTGTCCTGCCTCTGGCACTTTTTTAAAAGAATTTAAGAGTATAAGAATTTTTCGTGGTTTATTTTTTGTTTTTCTGGACTATTCCGTATATTTCAAAACTTCTGGATAATTTCGGAGAATTTTAAAATTTTATCGGAAAAAGTTTTGGGAACTTTCAGGACCATAATTATATTTAAATTTTATCTTGGCTCTTTATTTATGATTCATCATTTAAGCTATAAAATATCGTTTTACTTATTTTGCTATCTGTTCTTGTTCTCGAGATATCCGATTGAGTCACAAAAGAAGTTCGTATTCAACACTGTGCTGCGCGAGCCAAAAACGAAGTCACGCAAAATTGGTTACACAACTCGAGCCTTAATACTTCAATTTCGGCACCGAAAAAGCTTAACAGTCCAGTAGAACCTGTTACGTAGATTCCATTTCATCATCATTCGGTTAACTGCAGCAGTGAAATTTTTTGTCGTGACTCTTTGTGTTGTCACGTGAATTTCCATCGGAATAGGACCTGTTAAAACTCGCACCAAAAGCGAGAGCCGTAGCTTAACAAGTATAAGGAACTCCTAGGAAGGCCTAGACAATATTCACGAGCTCTCGAGGTGAACAATTTTTACTCGCGAAAAGTACATATCAGAGTAGATATCTTAAGGTTGTGTGTACCAATCCATCTACGGGGAAAGTCGGCTAAGTATAATTCTCTCAGCACATGTGTAATTTTACTGTAGCTACATTATTTAGTTAAAGTTCATGTGTTGAGAGAAATATTTTCAGCTGACTTTTTTCTGGATGCAGGAGATCTATAGCGTTTTAGGATTATATTTAGTTTCAGAGGTGCAATCATTTCAACCTCTTCTGGGTATCTATCCATCTTTCGCTTCAAAGTTGGATACCAATACTTCTGAAAAATATTTACTTAAATTAAATTACACTTGACTTACCTAAATATTAAATTTCCCATATTTTACTCTTTTTCCTTGCAGTTTTGTCAACCCGCATGAAACAATTGGCTCACTTGCTGGACGATTTCAATTTCGAATGCATTGGCACAGCGCAAACAGATGATGAGAATGTCATTTGCGAAAGTCTGAAACATTTCGCCGCCATAATTGGAACCATCGAAGATGAGCGAGAAAAAATGGTGAGTAAATGCCAACGCCAACTAAATGTTTAAACTCGTATTTGTGTAGAAATATTTTCATAAGCTTACAGCCAGGCGGCAACAAACCATAAAATTTGTATTTAGTAGTGCGAGATCTATTAGCAGGAAAATACTAACCATATGTTTTTACTGAAACTTTTTACTAACTAAACACATCCATTCATACACAGTTAATACATATAGTATCACTAACTGATGGCGTTTCTGCACAATTTCACAGCTGACGCTGGCGGATCAACACATTATTATGCCACTGGAGGAGTTTCGTAAGAAACATATTGGCGGCGTTAAGGAGAATAAGAAAAAGTTTGATAAGAAGACGGAAAAATTTTGCCAGACACAAGAACGTTTCCTGAATATGTCAACAAAAAAGCCAGAGAATACGATACAGGAGGTGAGTGTGATTGCTTGTAGCTATGTGTGTACATAGATAATATGCAGGAAATACGTTTAAGCGATTTTAGCGGAAAAGTTAGTGTTGTACATATATGCGCTGGGAGACGGAGGGAGTAGCGCAAAATTTAATAAAAAAAAAGTGCACTTTTAGTTGAATTTGTGCGAAATGAACAAACAATTTTGGTTTCTAAGCGCACACACAAATCGCCAAGACCGGATGTGCTGCGAAAAGCTTTTGCTATTTTTGAAAGTAAATAGTTTTTGTGCGAGCACTGCAAGAAAAACGGATGTGAAGTTGGAAACATTTTGCTGGTAAATCAATTAATTTTTTTATTTTTTTTTGAGTGTTAAATACTGGATATTCTGTACATTAAATGCAATGTCTACATATTTATGTATGGACTTAACTCTGATATCAGCTCCTTGGAGGAATTTTTGAAATTTTTGCAGAAAATTATTTTAATAAATATAATTATATTATCTTCTTTCCTTTTTAACCGACTTCCAAAATGAGGAGGTTATCAGTTCGTCGGAATATTTTTTTTTTTTTTTTTATGTATGTTACCGCATAACTTTGGACCACGTCAACCGATTTCGATAATTCATATTTTCAAATTTATTTTAAATTTTTTGTTAGTTTTATTTTGCTAGTTTTTTTTATTTCACTTTCGTTCGTCTTATTTATTTCTATTTATTGTTTAAAATTTTTTTAACTTATATAATTTTATTAAATTGTCGTAATATTATGTTCCGATTCAAATTTTTTGTTTAATTTAATTTGCAATTATGTATATGGATGGTATCATTTTATTTTATGCATCACAATTTATTTTTGTTATTTTTAATTTTATTTTATTTCATTATAAAATTAGTATTTTTAGTTTTTAAACAAATTTTTATATGTATTTATAATTTTATTTGTTTCATTTTAGTTTATATAACTTTTTTCCTTTGATATCATTTTATTTCACTTTTACTTTAATTTAATTTAATTTTGTTAATATTTCGTATATTTTAGTGCGTTTAGTTTTTATATATAAATTATCTTAACTCTTAATTTATTTTTAATATAATTTAGTTTTGTTTATTTTTTATATTTCATTCAACAATTTTATTGAGCTTGAAAAATGAAAAATGTTGTGGAAAACAATAAAAATGTATACATGGTAGAAGTTATATCCGCTATTTCGGAGATCACCGCATCTCCTCATCAGACTTCTTAATAGAATTCACTGGGACTTCAATCAGCAGCTCTGGCGTACAAAGCTGACAGTCTACCTACTGAATTAAGCTTGGCATATAAACTGTTGTTGCTTTTTTCTATGTATGTTTTATATATTTTCTTTTTAATTCGGTTTTATAAAATTTTATAATTAATGTTTAGTATTTTTCACAAAAAAAAAAAACAAAAAGAAGAATTTAATAAATATATTTATATATAGTTTAATTTTAATATGGTTTTCAATTAAATTTTTATTTTATTTTATTATATGAATGAGTTTTTAATTTTCTTACTTTTATTTTATCGTTTTATTTTCTGTATTATATTTTGCATTATTTGATATATGTAGATAAGTTTTACATTTAATGTATGTATGTATGTATATACTTTTATTTTATTTCATATTTTTTCTACGAGGCATTTACGAATTTTTTATTTAATTTTAATCTTTAATTTTGTTTAAATTGAAATTTGATTAAATTTTTCAGTTTCTTTATTCTTTTTTTTTAGTTTTTAAGTTGGCATAATTTTTAATTTATTTTTTAATTTAATAGTTTTCATTTTATTTTTAATTAAATCTAATATTTTAAATTAAGTCAATTAATTTTTATATTTTTTTTAAATTTTATTTTTAATTTAATTTCTTTATACGTTTTTTAAGTACGTATTCAATTACAATTATATTTTCGCTATTATTTTTAATTTCTCTCAGTGTCCCCAACGTAAGTTTTCGGAACAGCAATTTCTATGAAAGAGTTGAAACGGAAAATGCAATAAATACGAAATTCATTCGGCATGTTAGCCGCC